GTCGATGAGCCTCATCTTGTCTTGAAAGTGATTGATGGGAGTGATGAATACCAAGAGCCTTGTCCCGACCCTCATATATAGCCATTGTTCCCCTTACTATCGTTTTCGCATTGCCACATGCTATTCTTCTCATCTCGGAGACCATCTCAAAGCAGAAAACTTAGAACATGTCTGCTTCCTCTGTAGGCTACAGCGCCGACAGTGCCCACTTGAGACATTGTGCCACATGCCGATATCAATGCAAGGAATAGCCATGCACTGGGCTGGAAGCCGGCGAAAACCTCGTGCGGGAATCGATGGCCGCACGCGAGAATGACTTACTGCAGGGCAGAGTGGGCCAACCGATGAATGGGGGATTCGCCGGGTGGCCTAACGCTTGGGGGTGGACCCTCAACGACGGATTGCTCGCTAGGATTGAGATTCATGAAACCGTAGGATTCGTCCTCAGGCGACACAGTGTGGCGCCAGGAACCGGCGGGCGTGCAGATCTTGGCGGGCGTTCGTCGTCTTGGTACGTTCGGAAAGAACCTCATTTCGGCAGCCGTGCAGCGAACGAGATGTCTAGGTGCGCACTGAGCAGCTGTTATCGCTCCACGTGCTCGCCCGCCTCCAGGCCTCTGCCATTGCGCCATGCTCATCATCGCCCTTTCTGTCACATACTCGAAAGTCTAAAATTATCCTCCGTTGGCCATGGATGGTGGACGTTGTTGTTCAGGATTTACCGTGGTTTTCGGTTGGCGTTTGTGGCGTTCGCAAGCCCATGACACACCGGACCGCACCCCACATTGCGCTGCACCGGCCTGAACAAGGCAAGACCCCTTTCTGGATGACATGCCGCCATCTCTGAAGGATGCTAGGTTCCGACCGTATATGCGCCAGCACTTCTTAACAAAGTTTGCGCTATTGGAATGCCATGGTCGGGTAGGCTTCTGCAGTCGGCACTTCATACCAATGACGGCAGCCACCATGGTAGCTACGACTCGTGGGTTTCAGTCCTGGACCTTACAAGAGACGCACTATAAACCGCACGAGGGATCCCTGCGTTCATCATATTCGAGGATCACCTTCCGTTTAGAGGCGGAAGATAAATGGTGGAACCTGTCCCGCTGTCGCTTTACTTGAGACCTCCGCGATATCCTACGCACCCGTTACAAACTCGGGGGTCCGCCCATCTGTCTTCAACATTCGGATTTTCTTGCGCAAACGTGGCGTGAGAGCATCAATATGGCCTCTTTCATTCGCACATGCATGCTGTTGTGGCTCGTTACCATCTCCATGGTACATGCAGCACAGCAGCCTGCCCTGTCAAAGCTTCCCGCATGTGCTGTAAGTACCTTGCAGCCCAACCTCTTAACATTTCGCTCACCCTTGCAGCAACTGTGCCTCTTGAACGCTTTCGGTACGAACACCTGTTCTCCAACAGATCAAGCATGTATCTGCACGAACGATGTCTTCCAAAACAACGTAACGCTGTGTGTGAGCGCCAGCTGCACCATCCCTGAAGCTTTAGGTACTTGCACCTATCCCGATGGAAGAGAACAAAAGACTGACATACACAAAGTTACGCGCAACATCAGCCTGACCACCTGCGGGGCCCCAGTACGGGATCGCGGACAAAGCTATGTGCTGTTGTCAAACGTCATGGTATGCATAGCTGCTGCCTTCGTTGCGATGCGTTTCACATTCAAGGCCACCGTGTCGAGGATGGACTTTGGCTACGACGACTGGTGCGTCCTGGCGACACTCATAGCCGCTATACCCAGTGCCATCATCACTGTCTTTGGCACTGTGAAGAATGGACTTGGCCAAGATCTCTGGACCCTCACACCGACGGAGATCACTCAGATGCTGCAATATTTCTACATCATGGCTTGGCTGTACTTCACGCAGCTCATGTTGCTGAAACTCACGCTACTGTTCTTCTACATCCGCGTGTTCCCAAGCAAAGGCGTCCAACGACTACTATGGGGTACAATCGTCTTCACCATACTCTGGGGCGTCGCCTTTATCATCGTCGCGATATTCCAATGCCGGCCCATCCAGTACTTCTGGACAAAATGGGATGGCATGCACGAAGGTACTTGTCTGGAGATCAATGCCATCACCGCATCGAACGCGGCCATATCCATCGCCTTGGACTTCTGGATCCTGGGTGTTCCTCTTTGGCAGCTTTGGGGCTTGAAGCTACACTGGAAGAAGAAGGTCGGTGTAGCGCTGATGTTCTGCGTTGGTACCTTTGTCACCGTCGTCAGCATCCTGCGTTTACAAGCCTTGGTTCACTTTGCCGCTTCATCGAACGTAAGCTGGGAGTTTTACGACGTCTCGATGTGGAGCACGATTGAAATCTGCGTCGGCATCATGTGGTAAGTTCTATATTCGTACTCATATATCGCATCTATTAACTTTCCTACCAGCGCCTGCCTCCCGACCCTCCGTCTTCTCCTGGTCAGACTCTTCCCCATTCTGGGTGGCTCATCGGCACGCAGCCGTCAATACTACAACTACGGCAGCAACAACGAACTCAGGAACGTCAGTCAAAAACACAAGTCGTACAACTTGAACACGGCTATATCGAGCCCTCGTTCAGAGTCGTTCGATACGAAAGTGGAAGATGGCATCAGAGTCAAGACATCATATCACGTGAAGCACAGCCATAGTCAAGGAGACACAGATGAGGCTAGCTTGGTTAGCTATGAGGGAAAGCAGAGGCCAAGGTAGTTTTGCACGATATAGTAATGATCATGAGTATTTTGCACTACCTCACGTTCCCCGCATGAGCACATGTTACCTAGGTACTTTGATGACTGCGTCTGCCGGTGCTGAAACCTATTTGAGACGAACTTTACCTTCAAACAGCCACTTGCCAAACGTAACTTTCCACACGCGTGGTAACTGCCGTGATCGACAGACGCTGAAGCACCCACCTCTCGTGTTTTCGGTCGACCCATCAAAGGGTAACGCAGATCACCGGAGTATCACCGACATCCTCGTGGAAGATCACACTAGTTCCACGTGTCGGCGATCTCTGTACGCGATTGCGACAAGGTACAAACAGCGAATGGTCGGTGGCCTTATTCATTGCACCATCTAAGTATTGCGATAATTTCCATCACGGCGAGAAGTTCCGTAGATGGCGTCTCTCAGGCACCCCTTCAAGTGCTGCCGTCTCCACAACACGAATCATCCCGTATCCGCAATGATGGCAAACCCGGCCGAGCTGCGACGGGCTTTCGCGGTAGAATAAAACCGACGGGTCGTAAGTCTGCGATAGTTTTGTGGTACGGCAGAGCTACGGGTCCGATGTGGGCCCGATCTCTGGGTAGCCGATTGTCGGCTGTGCGCAGATGGAGGCTGTTAGCAACGACTACTTACTGCTAGCGATGGCACTTGGCTTCTGGAAGAAAGACTAGTCAAGGAGAGGATTACTCGAAATTAGCCTGGTCCATTCTCAACGTACACCACCGTATCGGCCGACTTACCAAGTTTTGTGGCTGGTGGCACGTGCCCAGGAATTACGCTGCAGTGGCTGAAGTGGCCTTGGTGATGTCGCATTCAACGAGCAAGGCGCTTGCCGACGTTGCGCTCACAATTTCGGATCGAACGAAGACTTTGCGCTGCAAAACCTGGAAACACGAAGATGCAAAACCCGGTCTCTGGCGTACCTAGTGCCGGGTGAGAATGTCGTCATCAACATCGCAGCGGTGATTGTGCAATGCATTGCGTCTTTGAATAACGCCGAAAGTTTGCGCGCACGCATGCATCCCCTCAACTCGCATATCTAGCAATCGCGGCTTGTCACGACGTGTTGGGCGATCAAGTGTGATAGTCTCACGCATAGGTCCAACTCATCTGCACTACCTAAGCAAGCGTCTAGAGTAACACGTTTCACGTGTCAACCAGACTTCATAACGCAGCTAAAGAACTTACAGGAAACTGCCGAAAGCATGTCTCGCATGTCGGTATTACAGCGAGCCTAGAAGAAAGATCTTATCGGCTCCTACTTAGTGCGGCTCCCGCTTTCACATGACCTCGGGATTAAGCAATTGACTTTAACGTTTGCGCCTCAACGCAGATCTCACAGTATACGAATGCGACATTTTAGTAAAATCCTCAAGACTGAGGGCATACTACCGTTTACAAATCCTGAAGATCGTGCTAGCAATCCAATGTCAGCGGTGCCGGCACATGTCTTATGGTGCAGTTTACAGAGATCTGCGATGACGTGGAAAGAGCGAGCACAATAATGGACAGCAACGTTCGGAAAAGAAGTGACAGAAATTCAGGGTTGGAACACGTTTGGGGCTCCTGGAGGAAACGATGGGAGTACGTTTTTCGTGAAGCCGGACAGGCAGGTGGTCTTAGAGGCAACGGGCTTTCGCAATACTAATGTTCTCAGAATGTCTTCGCTGTTGCCTTGACCCAGCTTCTATACTTCATCATGTAGTACCAAGTCGCTGCAATCTTCGTGGCAAGAGACCTGCTGATTAGAGTAGATTGTTATTATTATTATCATCATCATCATAGTATTCTTGGGTGCATATGATATATCACCTGGTTTCAGTGGACGGGATGGGGCTGCACTCACCTCAGCTTTATCGGACGGCTTTGTGCAGCCTTTGCAGCTTCTGTCTCTCACCTTGACCGTATCTATCGTGACCCAGGGCTTCATTCCTGGTGGCTTAGTGCTTCTCTCAACCCAAACCTCTCCAGATACAGCACGCTCACCTTCAACAACATGGCTCCATTGCGTACGCCAGAACAGCACCAAATGCTACCTACTATGGGTTCTTCTCTTGCTGTCCGTCATGGGGTGCAGTCTACTCGTCCAACAGCTATCGCTCACGAGCTTGTATGTATATTCCGCGCAACCAGCTCCGACCAACAGGGCTGATGTCACACAGAACAAGACCTTCTTGGATATTCGCACCACTGCTGCAGTCTACAACGGGCATCTTTCCAAGATGCGTGATCAAATACACGATCTTACAGCCGAACACACCATGTCATTCGCACAGAAGGACGCAGCTATCGTGGAGCAGAAACGCGAAGTCGGCGACCTCAGGACTCAGAACACAGAGCTCTCATGCGGTCTTCACGAAGAGATTAACAATCGCAAACTAGCAGTCGTGTGTGCCGAAAATCTCACAAGACAGAATGACATTCAAGTTAAGAAGGTCATGACGCTCAGCAGTAGGGTTACCGAGCTCGAGAATGAGTTGGCTCAAGAGAAAGACAAGCACATCGCAGATAAAGGCGCGAACGAGAAGTTGCGTAGTATCACGGAAAAGTGTGCCGAGATTGCAAGGCTTTTGGGGGAACACCCGTAGATGGAATTCTACTCGTGCTTGGGAATGGCTGGACAAAAGCGAGTTGCGAATTACGGAACCTGACGCTGAGTACAAGGGTATGTCTTCAGACGGCCCCGGGCAGGCTGAGATCTATACAAGGTACCGTTGGTTGGTGTATAGCTTGAAGTTCCAATCTCACCTTCACTTTTGCCTCCGCTATCATACCGCCATTGCAGACCCAGTCCAGTCCGTTTGCTACACATCAACCTAACTTCTACCTTCCACTAGAGCTGCAGCCTAAACATGATCTCTCATACCTCGTCTCCCGACGGTATCGCAATCTCCCAGAGATGTCGGACAACCGCTCGCCCTCGCATGCGAAATGGTAACGACAAGACAAAACGATCGCGGTCGCAATCCATCTTTTCGGGAGCTTTTCCCCCGTCGCGATATCCGCCCACCTACGCCGACAAGCACCGTGAGTGAATGTGACGAAGACATTCACCAATCATACTGATAAGCCACAAGCTGCGTTCTACAGCGCACGCTGCTGTCGCAAGATCGTCACTCACCGCGTTGATCAAAGACCTGAGGGCGCAGGAGCGACAGGTCCTCAGTCTAAGCAGCGCGCTCGATAAAGAGCGGTTGGAGCATGAGAAGCATATTGAAGACCTAGAAACAACTCAAGCGAAAGAGCTCGCGACCGTCAATGAGAATCACGATCGCCAGCTTGCGCAGATCGAAGTGCGTCACAGTGAAGAGCTCACGCGCGTCAAGCTGTGGTGTGTGATGAACCAACCAAGACCAAATGAGTTATCGCGAGTCCTCGAACGGCAGCGGAGGTCAGCATTGGAAGCTGAGGTGGAGAAGACAAAAGAAAAGGCGGAGATGCGACATAGTTGGCAAGATGCTAGAATCCAGGAACTGGAGCGTGAGAACGACCAAGTCAAGCATCAACTGGCAAACTTGCAAAGGGATTCACAATGGAAGAACTGGATGAAGACAATAATGTCATAATGCCTGCCCGTCCTCCCGGCGAGTGCCGACTCAAACCCCCGAAGGGGTGAGTCAAGGTCTCAAACCGGGAGGACTAAGACAAGAGTAAAAAGCTAGCTACAAGAAAGGAAACGTATACAAAACAAAGTACAACAAAAAACGATGCAGCGAATGCAGACCCATGGGTATCGTCGCGATAAACACCAAATCAAAATCAAAGCCAACACAAAAACTCCAATGCTCAGAACCGTGATGAGAGCCAAAATAAACGCCCAGTACCCAAGATGCATCTTCCCATGCTCTCGAGTTGTCGCTGAAAAACCAAATGCGCAACACCGTGTCGTGTGGAATCGTAAATGCGAAGTCGTGTCTTTTCCTTCCTCCCCTTCTAGTCGATAGAGTATTCTAGAATTATACCGCAATGAAGGACAAGTCGTCGTAATCATCGGAGAGCATAGACAGGTGGACGAAGTCCTCCTCGGCTTGCTCCAAAGCCACCTTATGACTGTGTGCGCGCTCCTCCCAGCCTAGGCTGATGCCACTGAGTTCGATAGCCGACATCTTAGGTCGGCCAGTACCATGTGCGTTCGAGATTTGATATGTTGGGTTCTCCTCGAGCACTGGGCTTGGCGGCTCAAAAACGATGAATTCATCATCGTCATCGAGGTAAAGTCTCTCATAGAATTTCCTCCAATTCTTTTCGACATGCTTGTAGGTGTCCAGACTGATCAACGTCTGGCGCACGTTCCATTTGAATGCCCAGCTGTTTTCGCGCTTGCGCAGCCAATGGTTCTCATTGTCGAGGGCTTCGAGCATAGTCCTGAGCTTGCTAGGATGAGCGAACGGGTCATCCTCTTCCCGAGGTTGCTCGACTGGAGCGGCAATGGTTTCCATGGCGTGTCCTGCGTCGTTTTGCGCATGCTCGTCGGCATTGGCCAGGCGCTCTCTCAAAACCTCAATCTCCATCATCTGGGATCGATTCAGAGCCTGAAGATCCATGATCTTATCATGACGTGTCGTGAGCTCTTCTTGGAGAGCCTCGAGACCTTCGGTCTTACTGGTAGCGTCCTTGATCTTGGCCATCAAGTGCTCAATCTCCAGTTCTTTGGTGGCGATGACTTGCTCTCGCTCGTGAATCTTCAAAACGGTGGCACGATGCTCGACGGTAAGAGTTTGTAACTGGCGCACAGCCTCGTCATCCTTCTTCCGTCCCGCCTCAACCTCCTTCGCCTTCTGAGCCCAGGGCGTAGGTCCGTGCTCGATCTCGATGGCTTTTGATAGTATGCCGGTTTGGTCGGCCCAGGAATTCAGATGATAAGTGATGGTGTTCAGGTGGGCAAACATGAAAGCATAATTCTGATCGTCATCGAGTCTATCGATGTTGTCTTTGATCGCGCGGAGCTCAAGAGCAGGGATTAGCTCGGTGTCGGATAGGCTAGTGCACTTCGCAACCTCCTCGATCAGACTGCGAACGAAAGCGGCAAGGGTTCCAGCAGCCGATGCCAGCTTTTCGTCGTATCTGAAAGCGTCCTCGAAATCAGATGGTCGTTCCGGATACATATGATCCTGAACCAGAGCCTTCAGAGTCCGTTGCAACCTGGCCGCAGCCGTGGATGTAGCCTGCAAAGTATCGACTGGCTCGTTGAAATGAATGAGCATCTTTGCGCACTCTTCGCGTATGCTCTCGGGCACTTTCTCTAGGACGAAGTGTGCCAGATCGTAAATGTAGAGGATGTAGTTTATCCTCGCGTGGAGCGAAGTCGCTATGGAGAGGAATTCTCCCTCTGGTCGTGCAGCAAGGACCTCTTGGTGGCTTGACAGAATTGCTTCATGTGTCTTGGTCGATCGCTCCAAGGATCCAGCAAATTCTTCAAAGTTGAGTGTGTCTGCTTTGAGAGCGTTGAGGCCTTGATCAAGAACCTGCTCTACCGAGATCAATTCTTGGTACGTCGGGCCAAAATTGGCGAATTCGGGAAGTGATAAGCCACGAATGGCAGACCAAAGACGGTTGCTTCCGTCTTTGAGGACCTCCAGGTGAACAATGGACTCTTCACAGACGAGTCTGGAGACAGCATCGTCCAATCGACCGCCATTGCTCATGTGACGACAGGTGCTCCTCAACACATTGACAAGCAGCTTGGATTTCCCAGCGATCCTTTCTGTTGCGAGGTAGGCTTGGAGAGACTCGCTTCGAGTGAACTCCTTGGACTCTGTCTCGTTCCAAATCTCGAGCTTTTCAGCAAGCTGATCTGCCTTGAGCGATACCAGCGAAGACTCAATCTCTCGTGTGGTCGACAACACAGTGGCTGCACGAAGTTGGCGGTTAAGGTCCATCACTTCGTTGAAGCGACCGGTGGTATCCTTGACTTGGGCTTCCGTCATAGTCTTGGAAGACTCAGCGTCGGCCATTTTGGTTTGTAGGTCCATGACGAGGTCTCGGAATTTGGAGATCAGAGACTCTTGGTCGGCGATGATGTGGGTCTGTTCGGTAATCTGGCGTACTTGCTCAGCGAGCTCGTTGTTCTTAGCGTCAAGCTCTGCAAGCATGTCCTCTTCTTGCTCAAGGTGTTGAGCTTCTAGCTCGTCGTTGAGTTCCCGTAGGTTCTCAAGATCTTGTACGACCAGATCCTGCTCCGCGATTCTATCTTGGAGATTCTGGTTTTGTTGGGTCAACTCCTCGACCATCTCCTCCCATTCATTGGCGGCGTCTAACTGTTGTTTGAGGTGGTCCACAAGGTTTTCGGATACAGAGAGACGTTCTTGTAGATTGGCGTTGTCTTGTCGGTAGTACTCAAGCTGTGCGACGTCGCCCTCGAGCCCGAGAATGTGTGCCTTGAAGTCTTGTTCCCGCTCCTCTGTCATCTCCTTCAGAGTGATCAACGCCTGTCGCATGCGATCATTCTCGTGCTGGAGACGGTAGTATCCAGCCTCTTGCTTCTGATCCTCTGACATTTCTGTTGTGAAGAGGTCGGCCTCATCGCGAAGAATGTCCAGCTCCAGCGTCTGCTCTTCCAGGCGCTTGCGCAACGACTCGATCTCTGCCTCGGCTTGATCCGCCCTCTCCTCGGCCATCTCCTTGTCCACCAAGGCATCCTCTAAGTCCACCTCGTGGTCCTGGTGTGATCTGTTGAGAGCCTGTTGTTCCAATTGAAGTGTGTTGACACGGTCTTTCAATTCTTGAATCTCGGTATATTGAGCTTGACACTTGTTCTGGAGCCGCTGGATGATGCCGCTGTAGCGCTCTTTCTCGTCGCGAACCTGAGCATACTCTCTCAGGCGCTCTTGGTCTTCCGCGTGTTGCTTCTCGAGATGCCTAATCTTGGTGTGCAGATTGTCGACGTTGTTATCCCGACTTGCTTTGCCAGCATTGCTTGTGACTGAAGATGCAAGACTCGGTCTTGAGGTTGATGGTGTAGGACGAGAGGGTTCGGGACGAGAAGGTTCTGGGCGGGAGGATTCGGGTCGAGAGAATGGGGCGCGAGATGATTCAGCGGCAGAGTTGCTTGACGTACTCGCCACGCTGGCCTTGCGGACTGGGCCACGCGAAGGCGGTTGTGATGTTGAGGGAGCTGCGACTGACTGCCGCTTGCTCAATGTGGTTGTCCTTGTAGTGGTTGTAGGCTTAGGGGCAACCACGCTTGATGGGCGGGCTCTGGGTGTGGTGGGTGGTGCCTTTGTTTTGGAGACCGCTCGTGGAGTAGGAGGAGCCGGTGCGGGGGCTGCCTCAGAGAGGATGCTGACAATGCTAGTGTCGCGGATGAACAGCCCGTGGAGAGGTGCGCAAGTGAAGTAGCGCTCTCCGCGTACGGAGCCATCGTTCTTGCCATCAGCAGTTGGGAGTTCTATTCCCACAAATCGCCCCTCTGAGACGTGAATGGGGCCTAGGTAGCGGACGATGCCGTCTACACCGCCAGAAGTCTCGACCGTCTGGCCGAGCTTGAGATTGAGGGTAGTCATGGCTACTGGAGACTACCCAGGAGCAATGCTGAGAGTGTGGAGAGAAGCAGTGGCAGACAGCGTGGTGACTGAGTGCAGTGTGGTTACCTGACGCGACGCGTCGAGAAGCAGCTGCGCGTGAGGGGGAGAGCAATTGCGAACAATTGACTCAGCTGAAGTGTGAAGAGTGCAGAGCAGAAGAAGAAGCAGATACGCAACAATGCAGTAGCAGCGGCTTGAGAGTGTTGTGGTTGTGGAAAGTGGCATGGGGCAGCTGCAGAAAGTGTGGTGTACAGGTGAGAAGGGAGGAGCGAGGTGGCCGGCTTTTACGTGAGGGCTGGCTTGGCGTGGCGATGGCTCGGATCAAGGCGCTAAACCTCGGACGCGTCTCGGATGAGCTGCTGTTCGCGCTAATGGACCCTGATCCACGGGAGCGCCCGACGCTAGCCCATCTGAGCGCGTTTGAGCGCGCTCAACCGCGACTTTCGTTTTAACATAACGCCCATGAGGCCATCTGCGCTCTTTCCCAGCCACCACATACACAGATGGGGTAAGCCTTGAGGCAGTTTCCTGCCGGACATCCGCAACCACGCCACTCGACGCGTCTGAGTTTTGCTACCGCGTACATTCCGTGCCACGCCTCTTGCGATGTGTAGTATATAATGATGTTGTCTATGGGAGTTCTTCCTTTCACATTTGATGTTCCGCTTTGATTATATCGCCAGCTGTTTCCTGTTGTTTCTGAGCATCCATGCGCGTCGTGCGCGCACATGTGCAAGATGCCTTCTACATGCGCGCGCTGCATCACTCTCAAGTTACTGTTGCCGCCTTCTGCCTCAACCTCGCAGATGCAAAGCCCTTAGTATCGTGCATGTCACTGCCATGCATGCACTGTTCGCATATAGGTGCATCCGTACCTGATCAGCATTAGATGTGTGTATGCATTATCTTGTGGTATATCACGCGGTGAGCTTACGAAGCTATGCCCTCTCGTTGCAGTGCGCCATTTCATATATTCCATGCAAGATATGCTATAACTACGCATAGATCTGCGGCTACCATATGCCAGCGCCCATTAAAATTGTCCGACCACGTTCATCCACATCCGTTACCGCGAAGCTTCCAACTCCCTGATCCTTTGCTCAATGTCCGGAACAGCTCTGAGCTGCAGGTCGATGTCTTCCTTCTCACTACCAAAATGTTAGCGCGCATTCTCGCATACTCCAAAAAGCTCACAAACACCCCAAATGGAAAGGAACTTACTCTTCAAGTACCGCCCTCCTCTCCGCATCCAGCCCTCCAAAGTAGAATCCACCTTGGCCGTCAAACTGCAAAATCCTAGTATGGTACCTCCAAAGACTTCTCCGGTGACTGACTGTCATGAGCGTTATACCCAGTCTCTTCGCTTCCTCATACATCACCCTTTCTACCTCCAGCGTAACAGAACTTGTGCATTCGTCCAAGATGGCGTACCGAGGCTTATGGTAGAAAAGCCGCGCCATGGCGACGCGTTGCTGGAGGCCACCGGAAAGCACGTCTTCCCATTGTGCTTCAGCGTCGAAGCCACCGGGGCGGTCGATGAGAGATTCTAGGTTCAGGGTCTCGAGGATCGAAAGGATGTCGTTGTCGGTAATGGATTTGGAGTGCATGTCGTGTAGTGAGTCTGGGTATATGATTTGTTGACGCAGCGTTCCGCGTGAGAGGTATGGACGTTGAGGGATGTAGAAGATGTCTTCGAACGGTGGCTTTCGTACTTTGCCGCCGTATACGGGCCATAGGCCGCCTAGGATGCGGAACAGACTGCTTTTTCCGCAGCCGTTGGGTCCCACGATGAGGAGATGATCTCCTGGCTTCACTCTAAAGGAGAGCTTGCGCACGAGTACGTCGCCGTTTGGAGATACTATAGGCACGTCGATGAACTCTATATCCGTACCTTCAGTTACGGTGCCGCGACCGCGTAGAACGGATGCGTTCTCCTCGGTGTCGGCGGAAGAAACGAGCTTCTTCTCAAAATGACCAGCTTGTATGTCGTCGATGACGTCGAGGAGGGTTGACACACGCGAAGTGTAGCCGGCGAGCTCGGTGATCTCCTTGTACGAGAACATGACGCGACCGAAAGCGTCGCTAGACATGAGGAGCATTCGCCGGTTGGTCACGAAGCCTGTTGTGGTGACACTTGTCAGTAATCGTCCTCGTAAGTAAAACAAGGACTGCGGGTATTGAATACTCACTTTCCGTCCGGTCTCCCATAGTCATACCGCCTGTGCCTGGAACCTTGAAGAACACTGGCACACTGCAAAGCAGCAGTCCCAGCGCACCCCAAAAGTACTTTATCACAAAGTCCTCCATGACTCCGTGGTAGAATCTCCTCCTCAATATGCGATTGACATGCTTGATCAGCGTAAAGTATCCCTTATCCAAGGTATCCTTCTCTGCCTCATGTCCTGCGTACAGTGCCACCTCCTCGCTCCAATCGATCAACCTGGAGTGCTGAAACCTGAATTCGCCCTCTAACCTGGCTTCATCCGCTACGTATTTGCCAAAGGGTGGGGTAAGCGCCCTCATGACATTGGCCGAGATCTGAACCAGCAAGCTCATGAAGAACAGCCCTTCGCCACCGACGCTGCGCGAGAGCGAGTAATTGTAGATTATGATATCTAGTACCGGTTTCGCAAGATTCGAATAGAGTTCGGCGAGCGAATTGGAGAACTTGGAGACGTCGACGGTTATGAGTTGGTCGGCGTTTGCGATGCGATCGTCGAGGGCAGAAAGCGTGTAGAAGGTCATCTGTGAGAGGTATTTGGAATGGATATGATTCGTGAGGCGCGTGCGATATTGGAGGGAGAGTTTGCACTGGTGGTACGAGAGCTGGGTCTGTTAACACGTCTTCGGCTCCCGGTTGGCGACTGCGGCCTTGCCGTCTCGTTCTCTGGTGGTGGAATAGGAAGTGACATACCATACTGTTCGTGAAAGTCGCTGGCACGGCCACCGCCATCCACCAGACCAGTCCCAGGAGAAACTCCCTCCCTTTCCCTCTGACAAGCGCACTAACCAGTCTTCCGTCCAACTCCGCGACGTACAAACTGATCATCGTCCTCAACACCAAGAACACACTGTGCCCGATCAAGAGCCTGAACTCTTTGCTCTTCCACCCAGGTATACATATCTTCAAAAGCCTCAGCAGGTTCTTGAAGAACTCCCTGTTCAGCTCTACCTTCTTCCTCCCCGTTGCTTCACCCTCGCCTGCTGTTGTCTTGTCCGCTGTTTTGGAGGCACGCCGTATTGAAGCGGCCTTCTGCTCGGCAATGGCATTCCGTATGCGGTTTATGAGGGCGACGAAGAGAGTAAGGTAGACGGCGCGTGATATGCGTGTTCGGTGCTGGAGGTACAGGCGTGTGAGGTCGTTGACTATGGCTTTGGCAGACGCGCTGGTGAGGCGATGGGAGGAGAGCGGTTTCGAAAAGACAGCCATGGCTATCGTAGACGAGGCATTGGTCTTATGCGAGAGGTCGACGCTGTGCGGAGAGCGTGGCGTAGCGGGTTGTGGTGCTCAGTACAAACGCAGTGGTGTGGAACGCGTAGTCTCGTAGCTTAGCTGGTCACATGTGCCGTTGCGACAGGCTTCCAGAGTGCAATATGGCGCGTGCCGACTGTGATGTTCGGTAGATCAGCACGTCGCAGAAGGTGTCGCCGTGCAAGCCTCACCTGCGACATGTGAACGAATGCCTCGGCTTCCCCACAAATCGACTAACCGCATTGGGACTTAAGCTGGGGAAAGCTTTCACATGAACGAATGGAGCACATGCAATTACAATGATGGACTAGATTTCGCAGCTCATTTTGTATGCTACGAAACAAAACATCGGCTTTGGTGACCTATTCTTCAGACACAGAGCCTTCATTGAATGAGACCTGATGGTCCGCAATTTTCCTAGCTAATGTACAAAACCCTTGATTGGAAAGCCCTTTGCAAACCTTGCATCCCTCTTAGAGCACTACTTCGTATCCTTGAAATCACCCGTATGCTTCTTCGCCGTCTTCTCCGCTCCATACTCTGGGGCCACCTTTCCCGGTAGACCCTTGACGAACCCACCGATGTCCAAACCCTTCATCTTTTGCTGCGTGACCTGCATCCAGCTTTGCTCTTGCTTCTTCTCCACAGCCTGCTCCAGCTCCTCTTTCTCCTTCTCCTCGTTACCTACCCCCTTGCTACCTTCATTCTTCGCCCTCTCCTCCTCTTCCTTCTTCTTCTCCTTTGCTAGATCAGCCTCTGCACGCTCAACTTCTTCGATGTCGACGTCTTCGAAGCCGATCTTGCGAAGTATCGAACCTGTGATGAAGCGGTATTGGAGGTGACCGTCCACAATGTCGCTGACGTCAACGTTCTGAACGCCATGTACGCCGACGACGGGCTGCAGACCCGCGACGCCAAGTTGCATAGAGGATGTGCGGTAGAGGAAGCCAAGGATGTAGTCGGACTTGGAGAAGACGTTGACACAACGACCACTCACTACGGAACGAATACGCCGCCAATCGGCAACGTCGGAAGGGCATGGAGCGCCGACTAGGACGACGTTCTCGACAAGTCCAAAAGCTTTGCGCTCAGCCAGCTTCTCAAGGCAGGAAAAGATTAGGCGTGCGCCGAGAGAGTAGCCAACAAGAGTGACCGGTCGTTCGCCTTGGACTTTGTTGATCAGTGCATCTGCGAGGACCTCACCAGCCTTCTCGGCGCGATATTTGGCTTTCGAAAACGGGTTGTCCAGCAAAGTCGCAATCTTCAGCAAGCCCAGTGGCCACATTGCAGCCGTCATCGCAGCGAAGACAGTCTGCTCGATGATCTTCTTCTTTGCGTAACCCCAAGCAGCACTAGTCACGAATGTCTCGAGACTGTGTCCGAGCTTGAGAAGGGCTTCAAGCTCCCAACGAAGTGCGAAGCCTTCTGTCCCTGTACTGATGTATCTCCATGGCTTTGACACCTCTTCAGGGTCGCGGAGCCAACCAGAGACGGCGATCGCGACACG